TCAAATTAAATGACTAATATCACGATATTTCATGTGATAAATAAACAACCGCCTTGGAGACACTGCTGGCAAATTGAGTGACTGACTGACTGACTAAATGTCTGTCGACTGAACGACGAGAAACGACAATTCTTGAAACGAACCATGGCAAAGTGAAGAGAACCAGAAAACTTTTCCCATTGCATACCCATTCCCAAAATACACCGATTATTTAAAACATTTGCAAGTGACATAATTTATTGTCACGTCGACCTTGGTATGCTTGACAGTATTTCGAGTCCCTTGAGATGTTATTAATCACACGTGATGATGTGAACTTTATTCAAATGTTTTCCATTTTATGTCACAAATTAGTTGAGTTCACTATTTGATGACGGTTAAGTCATGCTGTCACTTGGCTCACAAGCAACAAAATTAAATTTGTCAACAAATTATGTTACCATTTTAAAATATTATTGTATTATTACTATGACATTCCCGTAGATATATACATTTCTTCAAACATATATCAGCACATATATATTTCATTTATTTAGTGGACTTCTCACAACTACAATATTTATTTCCTTGCTATGACACATGGACAAAACATACAGTATTTTAGAATAAAATAATATTTATTGTTCAGAAATTTGTGATTGCTTTGAAATTTCGCATCACCTGAAAGTAACATAGACTATATAAATTATAAAAAATCCACTTGGTATATCCATTTGGTATATTATATGGAAATTGCTTTAGATTTGGATATAGTTCCTACATAAATTTTTCGGCCGGTTTGATGTATTTGTTGCACCAAACACGCAATATATGTCACATATCAATGAAGTTTGGAATGTGTAACGGAATTTGTTCTTAACTTCTAACAGCAAAAAGTACACAAAATTTAATTGATACTACGATTACTAGTATTGTATAGTAATATTGCTAACTCAAATCCAACCAATAGCAACTTTAAAAAATGGCACTTTCGTATAGATTTGGCATTTTGTATATAAAATTCAGTTAGTTTCATTTACAAAGGGACTTTTAAAATTTTGTGTCACACAAGTTATCACTATCACCTGCCGGAACCCCCGTATCAAATGAATGAAAAAAATATTCCCTACTTATTACTCCCTTATTTGCAGGATAGTAAATTATTATAATAACCGGCTATCCTTGCTAATTTTTATACCCTACAATACTATGTGATGGGTTGTTATAAGTTTGATTGGGCCAACAATTATGTAACACATCGAAATATTGGTCCTGCTCATAGGATGTTACATATGGATCTCCCTAACTCACCGAGCTGAGGCGATCTAGATATGTATGTCCGTCCGTCTGACCATGTTAAAATTCATCATGCTACAGGTCGCAATTATGGCCAGATCCATCAACATACTTCACAATTTTTTTGAATTTAAGAGGATATTCAAAATTTGAATGGAATGTTGGACTTATTCTACACAACTAAATCCAAGGAGAAAGACAATATTATTTTATCCCAAAATTGTAAAATTCCCCATTAACTTAAAAAATAATGTTTTTAAACTGAATTTGCAATAATTTCAAATGCTTTCTTTATTATTTAAAACAATACACAGGCACATATCAGCTGTATGTATGTTCTGTAAGAATAGATATTCGGTAATTTGATGATTTTAGTGGCATTTGTATATGTAGGTCCACGTCTTCATATAATCCACATATAGCATTTTCAGATTAAATGAAACCTTTTGCAATTGAAACGAAATTTTTTGCAGCGGAAATGAAACCTTTTGCAGTGGAAATGAAACGTTTTGCTGTGGAAATGAAACATTTTGGAGTGGAAATGAAAACTTTTGCAACCGAAATCAAACTTTTTGCAAATCAAATGAAACTTTTAGATTTAAAGAAGGAAAAATTAATTTTTTTTATTTTTAGTAGGTTTAAAATTAAATCAACTAATTGTAAAGTTTCATTTGATTAGCAAAAAATTTCATTTCGGTTGCAAAAGGTTTCATTTCCGCTGTAAAAAGTTTCATTTCAATTTCAAAAGGTTTCATTTAATCGGAAAATACTATATAACCGTTTTCCTTTGAGCCGAATTTTTCGACGGAATGTTTTGGAAAATTTTCAAGTTACTTAAAAATGGTGGGGGGTATTTAAAGTTAAGGAACTGAGCTGATTTTTAGTGGTCCTTTCATAATACTTCATTACAAGCTTCCAATATTCGAAATTAAAATGAAAATTTCTTCCTTCGAAATAAAATATGATTTGCAACTCGCGGTACTCTATACCATAAAGTTGTTACATAAACTAATAGATGGCGAGAACAATATGAGTCGTAACAATATGAATTAAAATGTTACTTTTTGCCATGGCAAAATAATAAGGTAGTTTCATATGCTAAATTGATTATGGCAACACTTTTCCAATGGACACGGCCTTATCATTTTTCAAATATAAGTTATTTTCATATCTAAGGTACTTATTAGACGCGTCGCATATTTTATAAAAATTGTAAATAATCTCTTGTTTTCGGCGGCCCTTGTAAAGACAATTCTCTTCCAGAGAGCACTCAGAAGGAAGTCCATGTGTAGATTTTCAGACAATTCCATTGAATAATATGGCTAAAATAATAAAAATACGGAATGATGATGATTTAGCCACATTTTTCAATGGAATTGTCTGAAATTCCACACAAGGAGTTTCTTCTAGGTACTTTATCCCTTGGAAGAGAATTATTTATATAGATCCACGATATCGTATAGCCCTATATAACGGTACCCCCGACATTCGGTATTTTGATGATTTTAGGCACATTTTTAAATGGAATTGTCTGAAATTCCACACAAGGAGTTCCTTGTGGGTACATTATCCCTTGGAAGAGAATTATCTATATAGGTCTACGATAGCGTATAGCCAGCATATAACGGTACCCCCGATATTCGGTATTTTGATGATTTTGCCCACATTTTCAACGGAACTGTCTGAAAATCCATACAAGGAGTTCCTTGTGGGTACTTTATCCCTTGAAAGAGAATTATATATATAGGTCCACGATATCGTATATCCCTCATATAACGGTACCCCCGATATTCGGTATTTTGATGATTTTAGCCACATTTTTCAATGGAATTGTCTGAAATTCCACACAAGGAGTCCCTTATGGGTATTTCACTCCCTGAAAGAACATTTTCTATATAGGTCTACGATACCGTATGTCCCCCTTATAACGGTACCCCCCGATATTTGGTATTTTATGATTTTAGCCACATTTTTCGACGAATTTGTCTGAAATTGTACACATGGAGTTCTTTGTGTGTACTTTACCCCCTGAAAGGGAGTTGTCTAAATAGGTCCACGATATCGTATATCCCAATATAACGGTACCCCCGATATTTGGTATTTTATGATTTTAGCCACATTTTTCAACGGAATTGTCTGATAATCCACACAAGGAGTTCCTTGTGAGTATTCCAATCTTTAAAAGAGAACTGTCTATATAGGTCCACGATATTGTATATCCCCCATAAACCGGTACCCCACGATATTCGGTATTTTGATGATTTTAGCCACATTTTTCAACGGAATTGTCTGAAATTGTATACAAAGGTTTCTTTGTGAGAACTTTACCCCCTGACCGATAATTCTCTATATAGGTCCACAATATCGTATATCCCGCCATCACCCTCCGATATTAGGTATTTTAAAGATTTTAACAGCATTTTCAATTTATTTTATTTTTTTGAAAATTTTCTAATTCGTTCCAAATTGTGGAGGGTATTCAAAGTTCGGCCCAGCCGAACTTACTGCTGTTTTACTTGTTTTTTTTTTCTTTTTCAATTCAGTATTTGAAACTCGAAATAGATAGCAACCATTATAACAGGAAACTGATACCATCCATTTTATGGTCTTTTTAAAAATTTAACCAACCGATTTCACTGACAAAAATTTAACTGGATTCAATGCCTATTTTTATACCCTACCTTTAGATCCCACAAGGTATATATATTCTTGATCAGCATACAATTCTATGTCGATTTAGCAATGTCCGTCCGTCTGTGGAAATTACTCTAGCTTCCGAACGAATTGAAGTAGATTGATAAAATTTAACTGAAATGTATATTATGTCTGCAGGACAAGATGGGCCATGTAGATCCACGTTTTGGTATAGCCCCCATATAACGGTATCTCCCGATATTCGATTTTTTATGATTTTAGCGTCTGTGCAGGTCCACGTCTTCGTATAGGCCCCATATAACGGTTTGATGATTTTAGATACATTATTCACAGTTTTTTTAAAGTTTGTATATTGTAATGGCTTATTTTTTTAATTGCAAAATTCGTTCAAAATAGTGGAGGATATTCAAAGTTCAGCCCGGCCGAACTTACAGCTTTTTTACTTGTTCGCACTTAAATCACTGTAGCTTTGCTGTTCTTTAACTGATTTCAAAAATCTTTGGTTTGTTTGAAACCCTTGCAACCTTTTCAAAGAAAAAATAAGGTTTGACAATGTACCAAGTTTGGATCAAAGAGTTATCGTTTGAACCATCCAGCCAGACACACAGACAGACGGACGGGCACAACTAGGTCGACTGCAAATATCTTGAAACGGATTTGATCCAAAGGAACCTAGGTTCTAAACCCGTTATTTTTATGAGGCACATTTTGGTCATATGAAATGATATATATCCTCTGTTGCCATATGGCTGAAGGATACAAAAATTGTTTCTCACATTTTCTATGAAATAGCTTTTAATAACTATGTTCGTATTTACCCGGGCATTTGTCAGTTTTTGGTTAATTTACCGAATATTTACCCACTGTCCATGCCTAGATATTGTTGATCTTCTTCTATTTAAACTCTCATCCATGCTTTCAGATTCCGAGAAAATTCGCTTTCATTAAAATTATAAATTTAAACGACATTTATATACATTTATGTAAAATGTTTAAAAGTTTACTCAGATAAATTCATTCATTTGGCCTTGTCTACGTAAGTGTGCGTGTGCGGGTGTATTGGTAATGATTTATGGCACGATAAGAAGATTATAAATTAATTAATTTATTTTAATTGTTCAATAAACAGAAAATCAATTTCAATTTCCATCGAATATGCATTTCGAGAGTAATTATTAAAGTAGCCAGTCATTCTGCCAATTCATCAGTTCATGCAAATGCTTGCTTTCGTCTTACCTGGAAGTTTCCAAAAGTCTGCCCCAATTCCTTAACTGCTAATAATGTGCAAATAATGGATACATTTAATTTGTATATCGGTATGTTAATCTTTATTTATTTCACTTGGATTCTTACACAAAATACATCATCCACGACAATCGTCATCATGCAGACAGACATCCCTGCACTCGAATCTCCTGCGGGTTTTCGTTATCATGGACACTGGAATGCTCTCGTAAAGGTAAATCACTTATTCGACTAATCCCTCCTTATATGTTAACTTAAATAGTTTGGTATTATGACTGGATCCCAAGGCATCTACAAGACAAACGGGGAGCAGCTAACTCACACAGTGCGTGGCAGCACCCTGACTCCGATTTGCCAGAATCATTGCCATGAGGTCGTAAATTAGGCGCCACACACCCGTTTTCGATATTAACGCTGATGATGTCCACACTGCAACTATGTGATGCACCGCAAACCGCATGGTCGGAGGGACGAGGAGGCAAATTTGAAGTGTGCAATAGAGAGTGATAAATAGAAAGTATGGAAAATCTGTTAAGCCATGAATTGCTATTAGTTCAAACACACAAAATGGTGTGGGTGATGGACTATGTTAAGGGGGTAAAGGAGGAGGGGTTGATATTTTCACATGCATACTTACTGAATACATTACGTGCCGGCATTCCATCATATTGAACGCTGTTGGCTGAGCTATTTGGGCCTTGCAGTCGTTGCTTGTGGCTGGCATCGGCCAGTGCAAGAATTGTGGCTCTCACTTTCGTTTCACGCCGCGCACTCGGTATGCCCAGAATGTCGGCCACGCATTTCAGTTCCAAAACCTCACTTTTCGTTATGAAACGCGAGTCATCTATGTTTATGAGTAATTGCAGATTACTGGAATATAACTGGAAACCATCCGACGTTCGAGATATTTCGTTGATTTGTGGTTTTACGGATTTAACGGCAGCCTGTAATGGAACAAAACACCAAATTTCAAGCGAGTTGCATTAAAAGCGTTAATCAAATGTTGGATGGAAAATTGACAAAATACTCAAATTCTTCTGACGTTGCAAAATTTTAAAGGCCATGCTTTTTTGTAATGTGCTATCAAATGTACACATACACCCATACATATGTAAATTTGGGACGCAAAATTGGTTTATTTGGGCTGTGAAGGATCATACATTTCGTGTGTAATCGAAGATATGTATGTACTTATCAAATTTAAGGGCTGTGCTGGTGTGTTTTAGCATTTTGTGATATGAACCACCTAATATGTCATTTATAATGCTCGGCGTAGAAAATAGAAAAAAAAATGTTAGATTTCGAATTCATATCAATTACTAACAAAAATTGTTAAAAGGAAAATGTCTGCCATTGCCAGTTATAGCGTAGATGCTATATTTAGATTGTGATTTGTGTTTGTTTGACGCATTAAATCAGTTCAATTGGCTAGTTATAACCTACACCACATAGTGGTAAGGGTATTATGACTTTGTGCATTTGCTTGCAACATGGAGAAGGAAACGAGGTAGACCCATAGTTCCTTTTGGCGATGTCTGTCCGTCTGTCCATGTATTTTTGTAAACAAAATGCAGGTCGCATTAATATTCGATTGTGATGAAATTTCTAAATAACGTTTGTTTGGCTCAAGAACGAAACCTATTGAAATTGGTGAAAATCGGTCCAAATTTAGATGTAGCTCTCATATATATCTTCATCCGATTTTTGGTTTCTTGTGCACCAAATAAGTAATATCAGTCCAAATCGTGTAAATTTTGCTACATCCGAACGAATTCAGCCTACAAGCATGTGCTTCAAATTTGAAAATCGGTTCAGATATAGCTAAAGGTCCCATATATATTTTTCATCCGATTTGATGTTTAAGTCCCTCACATTCGTAGTATACACCCCGCAAAAATTATATTTAGTACCAGATTTTAGATTCAGTCCAGCAATATATGATTCAAATTTTATCAAGATCGGTTCAGATTTGGATATATATATATATATATATATATATATATATATATATATATATATATATATATATATATATATATATATATATATATATATATATATATATATATATATATATATATATATATCCAAATCTGAACCGATCTTGATAAAATTCAAATCATATATTACTTGTGCACCAAATGGCTAATTTCAGCCCAAAGTTAGTGAAATGTTGCACTTTCGGGCGAATTCATTCTAGAAGTTAACATTTAAAACTTGGTGAAAATCGGTTTAGATGTACAGTGGTGGTCATAAGGTTAGCACACTAGATACTTGCTATTTTTAAACGCAAATATTTTCTATATTTCTTAATTTTTTATGATATCTTTCGCATGCGTGTTACTTGTCCTTTTAAGATCACGCCCCATCATGTCCAGCATTATTCCTTTATATCTATTTTGGGTTTTTCTATCAAGAATAGAATATCCTCAAAAAAATAATGGACAGTATTTTAGCACAAAATAAAAAAGTTTTTTCATATTAAAAAAGTAACAAAAAAAAAAAAACTTATTTCACTAAAAACTTAGTACTTAGTTGGATATCCTTTATTTTGATCACAGTCTCCTTGGCATACTCTCTACAAGGGCCATACAGCGATCCACTGAAATTTCATTCCAAGCTTTTTTCTATATATGCTGCTCCACATCATTCCAAAGGTTCTCAATAGGAATGAAATCCGGAGATTGGGCTGGCCATTTTAACACGTCGATATCGTTCGATTCCAAGCAACACTTCATTAAGCGTGAGGTGTGTTTTCGATCATTATCCTGCATAAATCGCCACCTAAGTGGCATGTTGTCCTCTACATAAGGTATCATTGTGTTTAGAAGTATATTCTGGTATACCCAGAAAATGCTGTCCACACCATCACATTACCCCCACCGTGTTTTATTGTTGTACTTGTGTACTTTGGATTAGTTTGCATGTTCGGAGGACGCCATTCATACCTCTTACCATCCGATCCGAATCTACAAAATTTAGATTCATCACTCCAAACAACATTTTTTCAAAAAATTAACGGCTTTTCCAAATGCTCACGAGCAAAGGACAACCGAGCTTGTATGTTCTTTTTTTAAACATTTGGCTTATACTGAGAAATGCATCCACGTTAATTTTTTTCATTAAGTCTTCTTCTTATCGTACTGCTGGACACGATACCATATTTTCCTGAAATTTCTCTCTGGATTACGGTGGAGCTCTTAAAAGGATCTTCGGCAGAGGCTCTGTATATTAAAGAGTCCTCTTTACGTGAAGTTTTTCTGGGCCGAATAGCCTGTGTAACATTCTTAGATGTTTTATACTTCTGAATATGTCTTAGTGTATTATAAACCATCTTCCTGGAGCATTCCAAAGCATTAGCAATCTCACTTATACTAGTTCTTCTCGAGTTCATTTGTTGAATAATCTTTCATTGTTCCTCTGTATACCACTTTTTTAGCCATATCTAAATAATGTTCAGTTTGTCTTCTTCATTGATTAAACGTACCAATTAATATTTATACCCTCAAAAAACTTTTAAAAAAATTAATCATACTTATATGTGCTAAAATTGTGCCCAGCTTATTTTACACATTACTGCACTAAAATTCAAATTTAAAAGAGAAAAGCGATAGAATGCAGAAAAAGTAACGGGACTTATTGATCACACCATAAACAAAACTAATTACCAAAAACTTTAGTTTTGAAGTGTGCTAACCTCATGGCCACCACTGTAGCTCTAGTTTTTACTATAATCCTTTCAAGGTGTTATCATGCATTCTATAGCAATGTTATCTGGTAAAAAAGATAAAAATGTCTCCGTCAAATTTAGTGAAAATCATAAACAAAACTAATTACCAAAAACTTTAGTTTATAATTGCAATGAAATAAAATAATTTGCTTTAGATAACAGCAAGTATGAAGTGTGCAAACCTCATGGCCACCAATGTAGCTCTACAGGGTTGCCCATATTCGACGGAGCCATCTGGCAACGTCATAACTTTTGACAGAGATATCACATCGCTTAATGACATACCGCGTTTGAAGCGTCAATCCAAGCAGATTTTTACCATGAACCAATACACGCCATGCGAGCCCTCTGAAATAGTTGAAATTTACATTCAACAGAAGAAGTCAATTGTGAAAACTCAACGTGCATTTAAAACATTAAAAATGTGAGAAGTGCGCCTTCTAAGAACGCCATTAAGCGTTTATACGAAAAATTTTCGACTGGTAAGGCTATTTCTAATCCGAAGAGGCCATATAAAAGTCGACCAAGGCGATCGGCCGAGAATATCGCTGCCGTACGAGCCAGTGTTGAGAGGTCCCCAAGAACATCCCAAAAACGCCGTTCTCAGCAGTTGGGCATGGCTCGGTCCACTTTACAACGGATTATTCGCATTGATTTGCATTTGTTCCCGTACAAAATTCAATTGACGCAAAGAATGTTGCGTGCGGACAAGCCTCGTCGATTGGAATGGGCCCAAAGGTCCGTTGAATATGGGTAACCCTGTAGTTTTTACTATAATCCTTTCGAAGTGATATCATGCATTCTATAGCAATGTTATTTGGTATAAAAGATAAAAATGTCTCCGTCAAATTTAGTGAAAATCGATTCAGAATTTGCTATGCAAATTTTAATTTTATAATCAGTGCCAGGTTAGGTACGGAAATGAACAACATCGCCCCACTCCATCAAGTACATTTTAAATAATCATAAATCTTATAAAATGTGAAATAAGGATACGACTGTCTTAAAATTTCGCACATCTCAATATTTCTACCAACACAAGATCTGAGGATCTGTCAAAAATATAAAAAAACAAAACAACAAATATTTACATTTCATGTGCCTCAAAAAGTTGCTCTTCTCGCAAGCTCTTCACTTGCAGTAAATTTAATACGCTTTCTTCAAGAGCGGTGAATGGACACCGGATCTTTCACAATTTATGCCCCATGCTTCCTAAATTGGTTGCCCGAATGCATTGCCATTCATTTATTGTTAGCTTTTTTAGCCATTAGCCAATGGATGTTCCGTCATAACATTGAATATTGTCTGAAATTAGCTTTGCTTTGTATTGATCCTTCTCTATGGGTAAGATAAAAAAACTGCAACAAAGTCAAACGCCATAATTTTCATACATATTTTTTAAAATTTTATTGAATAAAAGCAAAAAATGTCGGAAATAGCATCAAATTTTAGAATAACTTGAGATTTGTTCGAATTGGTCAATTTTGGACCGAATTTTGGCCTTCAAACAGCCAATGAAATCGTCACACTCTGCCCGAATGTTGCTCTGCGGTATTTTAGCCCATTCCCGGCGAAGCGCTTGCTTGAGGTGATCGACCTACCTTGCTTCCCAAAATTCTCCAGACACAACGGATTGGTATCCGGAGATTTTGGTGGCCATTGTGCGCTGGAAATGAAGCGAGGAACCCCGTTTCGAAACCATTCTGTGCAGGTGCGTGCTGAGTGCGATGATTCTAAGTCCTGTTGGAATGTCCAAGGTCTGCGGCCAAAATGTTTGCGTACCCAAGGCTTTACACTCTCCAGAATATTTTCGCGACAATATTCGGCATTTATTCTAATGCCACGGTCGATTAATACGAGCGGAGAGCGACCATCGGCTGTTATGGCGGTCCACACCATCACCATGATCGCCGCTTTGGTTTTGGTGGCCAATCGAAGGTGCACATTTCTTTGGCAAGTAAACACGACCATTTTGTTTGTTTACAAACTGCTGGACAACGAATGTTTTTTCATCGGACAAAGCGAAATTCGGCAGTTCACCACTTTCGGCCAAGCGAAGCAACTCTTTAGCTCTTTTGAGTCTATTTCTTTCTGTTGCGGTGTAAGTTCTTGCACTTTTAGGAATTTCAGTGGCTTTACCCCGAGCTCATTTTTCAATATTTGCCGAATGGAGTATTGCGATATATTCAGCTCACGAGCCATCTTTCGGCCACT